ACAAGTGCTTAATATCTTCTGCATTTTGACAACAAATGGCGCCTTGACCAGCAGCTCCAATATGAGAGAGTATCCCATGCCGAGCACGCCAACAAAAGATCTTAACATTGTGTGGGAATTTAAGTTTCAAAGCACTAGCCCGACTAGACTAATAGTGTATGTTGCACCCTTTCTATATTACCATCAAATTTATGGCACCATTCGATATTATACTCGTGTCATACTATGAAGAATCACATTCTTGCTCGCATTCCAAGTAACTAATCATCAAAAACATAATGATTGAGGGGGATCTGAAGTATCTGCGTTACATCAGGTCATCAGAATATAGGTTCAACCTAATATCCCAAGCCCTCGTGGTTGGATTAGTGAGATCACTCACTTTAGATATAAGGGTAAGACCTGTTCTTGTCATGAGCTCGATAGGACCAATGGGCCAGTCCAAATATTAATCCTATCTCCATATCTAGTTCTCCACATATGTCGAAGTGACACTTGATTCTTTCTTTGGTCCAGCACTTGACACACTTCGTCTGTATCATAGTAATGTTTGAATTCCAGCCCATATGCTCTAAAAAGCGGAACTTGAGTTTTTTCCTTTGGTCCAGCACTCAACATGCTTTGGTTTGGATAATACTTTGAACCCCCGATGTCGGTGTTCTTTGGTCCAAAACATCGAATCAAGCTGACATCGATTTATGGTCCGACAACAAGCAGTAGGAAAGAGGGAGAAAATGTGAAGCTTCGGACAGCCAAGTCAACCCCTAGTGTTAGGTGGATTGTTTCTGGGGATCTCAATCAAATATATCAAGCTAGAGATAAAAATTAGCAACATGTCAATTGTCGACGCATCAACTGCTTCTGCGCTACTCTTCATGACTGCGAGCTTAGAGAAATCCATCTTCAAAATCAAATATTCATGTGGAGTAATGAGTGGGAGAACCATATCATGAGCAAGCTTGATTTGATGTTCCGCAATGCAGAATGGGATCTGGATTTTCAAAACATAGTATACATGTCCTTTTCATCCTTCCTCTCGGACAACTGGCCTATGTTGCTTGCCTTGGTGATGGGTCTGAAGAAGCTTCAAATTCGAAATAATGGACCAAGGTGTTAGGCTTCAAGGAGACAGTCTCACATGCTTGGGTCGAGAAACCTCCCCACCACTAGCCTTGCTGGAGGCAATCTTTCTCCTCTAATTTATATTCCATAAGCTTTGTAAGGTGGCCTTCAGATTGCATTGCTGGAGCCAATCTTTCTCCTCCAATGCTAGGCTGCACCTCCACATGGCCATAGAGATTATCTTGTGGCTGCACATTGCGTAGGTTGCTCACATGCTCTCGATAGAGGAGGTGGATTTGTGCAAGTGTTTGAAAAGGAGGGTTATTAGCTTGGCATTCCTTGAGAGAGCTAGGAAAAGACAATGTGCACATATTAGGAACCTAAAAAGGTGATGCCAACACCAAAGTTTTCCACTTAAAGACCCATGGGCGTAGGATAAAAGAACTCATTCACAAGCTAAATAATGGTGTTGTTTGGGTCACAAATCATGAGGATAAGGAGCATATCATTTGCCAGCATTTCACCTCGACCATGGGCAAAGGCCCAAGGAGATCTCGATTTCAATTAGCAAGCCATGAACTTCAATGCTTGCGATCTGAGTAGCCTGGAGGAGAACTTCACGGAGGAGGAGGTGCTTGTCGCAATCAAGTCTATGTCGAGCAATAAGGCTCCTGGGCCGAATGGTTTTGCCAGAGGTTTCTTCAATACTTGCTAGCCTATTATAAAAGCTGAGCTTATGGCAGTCATTTCTCTCTCCTCCAACCTTCACACAAAGAACTTCCATTAGTTTGGTTCAGCTAATGTGGTACTACTACCAAAGAAGAATGGGGTCGAGTTGATCACCGACTTTAGATCGATCAGCCTCATTAACGCCATCACGAAGATTGTGGCCAACGTATTGTCTGTGCGGCTTTCCCTTGCATGAACACCCTCATCTCGTGCACCCAAAGTGCCTTCATCAAGACAAGAAACATCCATGAAAACAATAGTATGTTCGAAATTATGCGAGAAGATTGCAAAGAGCAAATACTCCATCCCTTCTCCTCAAGCTTGACATAAAGAAAGCATTTGACTATGGGAGATGGGAATATCTTTTGGACCTTCTGCAGAAACGTGGCTTTCCCTCAAGACTCCGCAATTGGGTTGTGGCTCTCCTCCGCACTTCATCATCCCGGACACTCCTCAACGAAGTGCCCGACAATCCCATTTGGCATGGGAGATGTCTTCACCAAGGAGATCCATTGTCCTTGCTTCTCTTTGTTCTTGCCATTGATCCACTGCAACAAATCCTAGAAACGGCAACACAGAAAGGGCCCAACAATCTTTCTGGCTCCCATCAAGGAAGATGTGGACATGCTCATATCCATTCTGCAGAGTTTTGATGAGGTCACATGTTTAGTTACAAATGTGGGAAACAACTTTGGCCCCTATCAGATGCTCCGACATTGACCTCGATGACGTCTTTAGCACCTTCCCAATTGTGCACTCACAATTCCCTTTGTGGCACCTCAGTCTACCTCTTTTGATGAACCGCTTGTGAGTGTTGATTTTCAACATCTTGTGGACAAATTTGCAAGTGAAGTTATGTGTGGGCAGGTAAAATACATCGCCATGGCCGGTAGGAGCGCTTGGATTCAATCGGTCATCACCTTACAAGCTATCTACCACCTCACCTGTCTGATAATTCTAAAGAGATCCTTGCCTTCCATTACTAAGCTCTAACGAGCCTTCCTTTGGGCTAGCTCAAACACGATATCCAGAGGGAAGTGTAAGATCGGACGAGACCGTGTTTGCAGGCCCAAAGGCATAGGGGTTTTGGGCATTTGGACATGGAGAAATTTGCATGTGCCTTGTGAATGCGCTTGCGACGAGCCTGGACACAGTCGGAGAGGCCATGGGCGGGGCCTGGCCACCCTTGCGATGAGGCGGACATGAATTTCTTCTTTGACCTCACGACGATCACCGTTGGAGATGGCAAAACTGTGCCATTTTGCCACTTGCCCTAGCTCAATGGTCGTAAGCCAAAGGATATTTCTCCATCCATCTTTGCCATCTCCAAATGCAAGAACATGTCGGTGGAAAAAGCTCTAGGGGATGAGAGATGGATTAAATGCATAAACATTAGTTCAGGCCTCACTGCGCAACACACCATCGAGTTCATGGATCTTTGGACGGAGCTTCAGGACATCAACCTCAACACACCATCGAGTTCATGGATCTTTGGACGGAGCTTCAGGACATCAACCTCAACGAGAATATTGCGGATGCCATTGTTCGAAACAACACCCCGTCGGGCGAGTACTCTACATCGTCGGCCTACCTAGCCCAACTCCATTACCCAAATAACTTCCCTTTGAAGTCCACGGTGTGCAAAAAATTGGGCCGCTCCAAAGCATAAATTCTTTGTGCGGCTCATCCTTCAGGGCTGAGTATGGACGATTGGGCCACTCCAAAGCATAAATTCTTTGTGCGGTTCATCCTTCAGGATTGAGAGGGTGTTTGGTTGCAAGGGACTAGACATTTTTTAGTCCCAGGGACTAAAGAAAAAAGACCCTCTAGTAGAGTCTTTTTCTAGTCCCTTAAGGAAAAGTCCCTCCTGTTTAGTTACATAGGGACTAGAAGAGACTTTTTCTAGTCTAGTCCCTGTAACCAAACACCCCCTCAGTATGGACGACGGGCCAGCTTTAATGGACGGTTGGCCAAATTGTGGACATAGAAGCTGTGCAGATATCATCAGCAAAATCTTATTGATGTTCGTCATCTTCAAGATTATTACTGGGGTAATGTGTACTCCCTCCGTTTCAAAATAGATGACCCAACTTTAGACTAACTTTCCAAAATAGATGACCCAACTTTAGACTAACTTTCTATTAAAGTTGGGTCATCTATTTTGGAATGGAGGGAGTATATGTGTTGGCTTCGACCATAGTGCCATCACCTCAGGTCCTCAGCCTCCGATACATCTCCAAGGAAAGTACTGACGCTTTGTTCAAAAATGGTGTTGCCGTGCCCACTTCATATTTGACAGCACCATACATATAGCCAACAATTCTCTTTCAGCGAGAATCAGTCAGATTCGAATTCACCATACGTACTATAGCCAATGATTCTCTTTTCAGGGTCCTCTTTCAGAGAGAATCATAGTAAAATTCAAATTCAAGCTGATTGAATCCCATGTACAGTTCAGAGACAATCAGGCTACAGTTTGGCCAACCCAATTCATATACTCTCTTTTCAGAGTCCTCTTCCAGAGAGAATCATAGTCAAATTGCATTTCAAGCTGAAACTGAATCAGAGCTACAGTTACGATAACCCAATAACATGAATACTTCAAAGATGAACCACTTGCAGTCTCACATAACTTGCTCATTTGACCTCTGAAAGTATTCAAGCCGACCTCTGATGTGGATCTAGGTAAGTAGGTACCATGTCTAAACATTGGCCCTCACCAGGCACACCATGTGAGGAACGAGACCAAAAGTAGCTTCTAATAAAAGTCAAAAGGACAACACAGCTTGCACAAACTAAACTGGAGAAGAAACACATAAAATCAACTGTCCGATTATTGCAGCACATTATCTGAATGTACATTGCTCAGTTAACAAAGAGCAATCCCCAGGAATCTCAGATTCACAAAGCTAGCTCAAGGAGAGTCATGAAATTGGACAGCATACAACAGCTACATCATCTAAAGCATAAATGGCAAGAACGGTCACACAACTCATCAACTAAGAAAAGACTACCCGATAAACAAATAACTTATTCCATCACTAAAGTAGCCATGCTTCTCATGTAGATACTGTCACTCTGTCAGCAGCAAATGAGTAGTACCCAACCAACAGAGCAAATGCTTCAGTCGACGACAACAGGATGAAATTAATAGCTGAACTAACCCGGTCTGACCTATGATCATGCCATGCCAATCATCTTCATCGCTATCAAGTCACAACTCGCAAATTCTTCTTGTTCTTGCTGCCTTTGGGTCGACCACGCTTCTTTGCTCCCACTTTCACTGACTTCACTCTCGTGGGCTGTACAGGCTCCGGCGCGGCAGGCACCTCCACTCTCGTGGGCATCACAGGTTCCGGCGCGGCTGGAACCTCCACTCTTGTGGGCATCACAGGTTCCGGCATGGCTGGCACCCCCACTCTCATGCGCATTAAAGGTTCTGGCGCAGGTTCCGGTACCAGTGGCACCTCCACTCTCGTGCGCATTAAAGGTTCCGGCGAAGGTTCAGATGCCACTGGCTCCTCCCTTGCAGCACCTATGGTAATGGGAGTCCCATTCTCAGCAGCAACCCTACCATTGGCTCCAAGCCATGGCACATTCAGCTGACCTGACCCCTGTGGCTGGGAATTGACCAGATCCACGTAGCCAGGGCATCCGGGGAACCCAATGGGGAAGAAGCCCCAGGTACAGTAATACATGTCAGTGCCCGGCACAATGGGCGGCGGCTCCGCCATTGCCTCAGCTACAAATGGCTGGTGGCAGCTGGAGCACTTCAGTTTGCGCGCCTCGTAGAGGCGATCATACTGGTGAATATGGGAGCACCCCTTGCACAATGTCCAGAACGTCGACGCAGGCAATGTGCCAGACTCCACCGGCGGAGTCGCTGCTCTGGCGGGTGGCTGGGAAGCTGCTTGCAGCGGACTAGGTTGTGGAGGCGGCGGTGGCTGGGTAGCTGGTTGCAGCGGACTTGGCTGTGGAGACGGCGGTGGCTTGGTAGCTGCTTGCAACGGACTTGGCTGTGGAGACGGCGGTGGCTTGGTAGCTGCTTGCAGTGGGCTCGGCTGTGGAGACGGCTGTGGCTGGGTAGCTGGTTGCAGCCGGCTCGGCTGTGGAGGCGGCGGCGTCTGGGTAGCTGCTCGCAGTGAACTCGGCTGTGGAGGCGGCGGTGTCTGGGTAGCTGCTCGCAGCGAACTCGGCTGTGGAGGCGGCGGTGTCTGGGTAGCTGCTCGCAGCGAACTCGGCTGTAGAGGCGGCGTTGGCTGGGGAGCTGGCCGTACCGGGATCCGCTGTGGATGTGGCCGTGGCTGGGGAGCTGCCCATACCGGGCTCTGCTGTGGAGGCGGCGACGGGTGCGGCCTCCTCTCCACCGCCGGCTGTTGCATCGGTGGGCGAGGTGCAGCGGCTGCATCGAGTTCGGCGTCGAGGGCGGACTTAAGTCCGGCGTTGGAGAGGAAGGCCCAGGCATCGGCGACGAGGCGGGCAGCCTCGGCGACGTACACCGAGCAGGGGCGGTCGGGGTGGGACCGGTTGAGGAGGAGGGAGAGCCGGCGGAACTTGGAATGGACGACGTCCGGGAGGCGCGATGCGGGCATGGCAGGGTCGAGGCCGAGAACAGCGTATGGATCGGGCTTGCCGTTGGGTAAGCGGCGGCGCTGGGACGCGAGGAGGACGTCGGCGGCGGCGTAGAGATCCTCGGCGCCCGGGGTACGGGGGTCGGCGGCGATGGCCTGGGAGGAGAATTCCTTGCAGCCCTCGAGGTCCTTCGCCATGAGGAGCTTCTCGGCCACGCTCATCCACTTGTCCGCCTGCCGCCGTGCGGCGGCGGCGGCCGGATCCATTGTTGGGTGGAGGAGGAGGGTTCGGTGGAGGTGGAGCTCGAATTGGGGATGGATCTTTTTTTTCTCTGATGGTCGAATTGGGGATGGATCAGCTGGGTGTGCGTGCCGATAATAGCGATGTTTAACATGGACGATTCCGACATAAACCAACGGCTTTTCATGGGCCTTGGACGGCCCAATAAGAATCCGAATTTTGCTCATTGCTCAAAATTCTCGGGTGATTTCTTTTTTAAAACACTGTACGGAAGAGATCATACATACCCACACACGTTCATCCCTAAAAAAGACATACTTTCGCCCCCAACGAACACTTGCATGCACACCCTACCCTATAAGCATCTTTTAGAGACTGAGCTGGTACATCATCTTGAGATTAATGAAGTCGCCGCAGACGCCTTCGTAGTCGACGGGAACGCCTTCTCTCACTGAACGCACGTCGCCGAAGTATGAAATAAATCCAGAAAAATGCGAGCACCAATGTCAAGTTTAAAAAAAAAAATGAAACTCCATGGGCACTAGCACCCACGGTTTATTGATATAGAAGAAGCATCCCTCATGAGAATTCCAGAAATTCGTCCCCGACGTGGATCGAACTCTGGTCGTTGGGTTTACAATCATGCGCCCCCAACCACTGGGCTATGCCCACGTCCTCACCAATGTCAAGTTTAAGACTTGAACTCTGATAGACTGAAGATATCACTGTCCTCCTAACCATCCAACAATAAGTTGGTTCATAAATTCTTTGTTGATTACAAATGATGGAGCACATGGGCATCACTTTTCGGCATCAGAGAGTTTCACATTCACGCATGAGGGATATCAAATTAGTATGTGTACTCTTTTCTGGATTTGTTTTTAAAACTAAAATATCTCATGAACCGTGAGTCTAAATTACAAACCCTTTTTATCGTTGTATTTCTTGCATATTTTTAAAATTAGATCACATGTTGAAAGGCTTTTACAAACTTTTCTCATACAAAATTTGTGCTTCCAACTACAATAACCTACGATATCGATGTGAACTAACCGTACTTCAGCCTAATAGTAACTTACTACCGGTTGGGGCGCGCACATGGAATGCCGCTTGAGAGGAATCTCCGTGGTGCCAGGTAGGTACGCGGCCTTTCCACTTTACTGTTTGTACCACGTGGTGTTACTCAAGGTACAAGAACATGAAAGTACTGGTACATGCAACTTCCTAACGGGAACAGTAAGAAATAGTTGTGCAAAACCAACACATTTAGAGAACAAATTCTTATTAGTTACATGTGTTGAAATATATTTCCCGCCTCTCTTTGTCAGTTCGAACTTTTGAAGCAACTGGCTGAGTATGGATTCAATATGGTATTTGAGCCAAGAGGTCATGAGTTCAAGACCCTGCTAACGCAGTATTAAGAAAATAATTCTGCGGCCTATATCGATCGCACGTCTAAGGAGTAAAATAGCCTAAACGTGAGCGGAAGTGTTGAAATATATTGCCTGTCTCTCTCCATCAGTTCGAACTTTTGGAGCAATTGGATGGAGGATGAATTCAATAACATGAACTACTGGTATTGTCTAACACAGATATGATTGCATCATCTCTAGTTATATACTCTACCTACTCTAAACTTTCCACTCCTCTCTTTTTTTGGTATCAAAACGAGTGGAAACAAACCTAGAACAAAAGTAGTATGACAGATAATTAGCAATGATTCATAGCGAATGTAGAGTACTCTCACCTGCTCTTGCGTGTTTGTGTTCATCACATCAGTAGCAATTGGGTCCTCCCATGTCACTTCACCAATCGGGGCAACCACCGCTGTAGCCACCTCGCTGTGAGCAGGAACCTAAATGACCCGATGAGGCTAACGAGCTCGCCATTAGTGGCGGTGGCATGGTGCTACCCTTTCTTGTCGTCCTTCTTATGGGTCCTAGGCTCGATGAGGAATTGGAAGAGCGGGCTGGCAGCGGCCTTGTGTGGACTGAAGATCGGCTACCGCTCTAGGCTCAGACATATGGCAGTGGACCCCAGCGATGAGTACGAGAGGCTTCTCATGTCCTTGAACAGTACCAACTCTCTCAAACATGTGTTGTTGGGAAACTCATGCCTTACAGAGAGGAAGAATAGAAGGAAATCATGAGAGAAACTCGTATAACTTTGACGAGACTAAAAAAAATCAAAACCAACAAAGCAATTTCACTAACCATAATCCTTTTTGGAGAATGCAACCCAAGCCAAGGCCGCGAGACTGTAAACAGCAATCTTCATATGATTAGTCATTCCTCCTTCCTTCAAGGGCGGGAGACTGTCGAAAACACTCTTTATATGATTAAAGTAGCCCAGCCTCCTTACTTCAATCATAGCAGTTGCGTTTGCAATAGTATTACTTACATGCTTAAAGAGAATCCTACACATTGTCCATTGATGGAGGTTTCTGCATAACAAAGTAAATAAAAATTCTCAGAGATGTAAGGATTGGAATTGCATTTTTTAGATCCATCTAGCGTGATGCTATTGTATATCACAACATCCTATGCTGAAGAAAAACCCGCAAGCATGTTCATGGTACTATGAAAGAAAGTGCTGCTATGCAAGTAATCCCTTATTTAAATTGGCTACTTATGGTATGGAGACTCAAATTAAAACCAACAATAGACTCCTTACTATATACTGGAATTGCAACAAGTAATAAATGGGTGTACCTATAACTATCCAGAACCAAATCTGAAACAATATGCAAACATTGCACCATTGTCATATAAGTGAAATTTGGAAGATATTGTTGGGGAACGTAGCAATAATCCAAAATATTCTACGCATCACCAAGATCAATCTATGGAGAGACTAGCAACGAGAGAGAGGGGAGTGCATCTTCATACCCTTGAAGATCGCGATACGAAAGCGTAGCAAGAACGCGGATGAAGGAGTCGTACCCGTAGTGATTCAGATCGCGGTTGATTCCGATCTAAGCGCCGAACAACGGCGCCTCCGCGTTCAACACACGTACAGCCCGGTGACGTCTCCCATGCCTTGATCCAGCAAGGAGAGAAGGAGAGGTTGGGGAAGACAACTCCAGCAGCAGCACGACGGCGTGGTGGTGTTGAAGAAGTGTGGTACTCTGGCAGGGCTTCGCCAAGCACTACTGAGGAGGAGGTGGAGTTGCATGGGGGGAGGGCTGCGCCAGGGGCAAGGAGTGAAGCTCCCATGCGCCTCTCAACTATATATAGGGGTGGAGGGGGCTGGTTTCTTGCCCTCCAAGTCCATTGGGGCGTTGGCAAAGGTGGGAGGAAAGAAATCCCATCATTTCCTTCTCCACCGATTGTTATCCCCCCTTTTTAGGGATCTTGATCTTATCCTTTCGGGATATGATCTTATTCCTTCTAAGGGGTATCTTGGTGCGCCTTGAACAGGGGTGTGGGGCCTTGCCCCCACTACCCACGTTCATGTGGGTCCCCCCATGCAGGTGGGCCCCACTCCAGAACCTTCTAGAACCTTCCCGGTACAATACCGAAAAATCCCGAACATTTTCCGGTGGCCAAAATAGGACTTCCCATATATAAATATTTACGTCCGGACCATTCCGGAACTCCTCGTGACGTCCGGATCTCATCCAGGACTCCGAACAACATTCGGTAACTGCACACTAATTCCCATAACAACTCTAGCGTCACCGAACCTTAAGTGTGTAGACCCTACGGGTTCGGGAATCATGCAGACATGACCGAGACAGCTCTCTGGTCAATAACCAACAACGGGATCTGGATACCCATGTTGGCTCCCACATGTTCCACGATGATCTCATCAGATGAACCACAATGTCAAGGATTCAAGCAATCCCGTATACAATTCCCTTTGTCAATCGGTACGTTACTTGCCCGGGATTCGATCGTCGGTATCCCAATACCTTGTTCAATCTCGTTACCGGCAAGTCACTTTACTCATTCCGTAATGCATGATCTCGTGACTAACTACTTAGTCACATTGAGCTCATTATGATGATGCATTACCGAGTGGGCCCAGAGATACGTCTCCGTCACATGGAGTGACAAATCCCAGTCTCGATTCGTGCCAACCCAACAGACACTTTCGGAGATACCCGTAGTGCACCTTTATATCCACACAGTTACGTTGTGACGTTTGGCACACCCAAAGCATTCCTACGGTATCCAGGAGTTGCACAATCTCATGGTCTAAGGAAATGATACTTGACATTAGAAAAGCTTTTAGCAAACGAACTACACGATCTTGTGCTATGCTTAGGATTGGGTCTTGTCCATCACATCATTCTCCTAATGATGTGATCCCGTTATCAATGACATCCAATGTCCATGGCCAGGAAACCATAGCCATCTATTGATCAACGAGCTAGTCAACTAGAGGCTCACTAGGGACATGTTGTGGTCTATGTATTCACACATGTATTACGGTTTCCAGTTAATACAATTATAGCATGAACAATAGAAAATTATCATGAACAAGGAAATACAATAATAACCATTTTATTATTGCCTTTAGGGCATATTTCCAATAGTATACCACTTGCACTAGAGTCAATAGTCTAGTTCACATCACTATGTGATTGTAATGAATCCAACACCCATTGGTTTTGATCATATCTCGCTTGTGAGAGAGGTTATTAGTCAACGGGTCTGAACCTTTCAGATCTATGTGTGCTTTACAAATATCTATGTCATCTTGTAGATGCAGCTACCAGGAGCTACTTGGAGCTATTCCAAATAACTGCTCTACTGTATGAATCCGATTTACTACTCAGAGTCATCCGGATTAGTGTCAAAGTTTGCATCGACGTAACCCTTTACGACGAACTCTTTTACCACCTCCATAATCGAGAAAATTCCTTAGTCCACTAGTTACTAAGGTTAAGTTTGACCGCTGTCATGTGATCCATTCCTGGATCACTCTTGTACCCCTTGACTGACTCATGGTAAGGCACACTTCAGGTGCGGTACACAACATAGCATACTGTAGAGCCTACGTCTAAAGCATAGGGGACGAC